AGACACTTCATAATATTTTGTTAATTGTAATTATAACAATCAAAAATAAACATTTATAATATTATGCTTTTCAAACAAAATATATATATTATTTTACTTTTTATAAAAGTCATTATTTTAATACATATTAAATCAAATTAATCTTAGAACGCTGATTCAAAGTCACTTATTTTCTATCCCCTCCCTTTGGGACCAACTGGAAAATACTATTTATTATTTCTTTTTAAACAAAAAATAAAATCAACAAAATATTAATCAAAATCTTACTTATTTTTTTTACAATTGATACATATTATGTGGAAATGTTTATAACAGCATCAAACATCATATCCTCTATTTTAGCAAACGATGTATTTGAATTTAGTTCTTTTTACAATAACAAAAGTGTCCAAACAATCATTTTCATTGCTTAGATGGGTGTTTTTTTAATTATCATTCTGAGTGTTCAAAGAAGTGTTCTTTATTAAAGTCGGAATTCTTTATTGAACTTATTAATTTAATTTAGTTTGTTCGTTTGGTTAAAATTATTTTTTTGTTAAAAAAATATATTATATTATTGATAAAATAAAATTAACATTAAATAGTCATTTTTATGTTAATTATGTTTATTCAACATCTGTTTTTTCATAATTAAAAAAGTGGATGTAAATTCAAATCCTATAATTTTTATTATGTTTCCGGTTCCTCCTTCCTAAGATTAAAATGAGCATTATTGGAAATGTAATAATTATTGTTTTTGTTTTTTATTTTGTCAAATTTCATTTGTTCCTTAATTTTATTTTATTTGAAATTTGACTTTATATTTTAGAAAAAAACATAAATAAATAGATATTATAACACTTAAAAACATATTTTTATACAATAAACAGTTTTCTCAAATTATTTTTAAAATTTCAATATTGTAAAAACAAACACTCTTACTTTTAATAACCAAACATATTATTTTAGATAACTAATAATTCTATTTGTTGTAAAGATGATTAATTATACAATAAAAATAAATGCTTTTTTTTAATAAATTTGATATTTATTTATGATTTCAATACCAATTTAATGATAATTTATAAGATATTTAGTAGGTTGTTTGAATTAATCAAAAAACTTCATAACGAAACAATGATACATTAACACAAAAAATTTAATGTGGTCAATTAAGGGAATGAAACTGCATTAAAAGCACATGCCTCTTCACATGCATGACACTCAATGCAATCGTCTGGTCTTGCAACAAAAGATTTGTTGTTTTGCAGCTCGAGGACATTAGCAGGACATGCTGATACACAAGCACCGCATCCAGTACAGTTGTCGACGTTGATTGTTGGTGGCATTTGGTGAATATCAGTTATCAATTTTTGTTTATATATTCCAATTAATATTAAACAATATTCTCTGATAAAGTGATAAAAACACTTCTGGTCATTTTATTTGTGAATTATTATATTCATTATTTTCTAAATTGTTATTTGTGTGTTTAATTGTATCAATGAACAATCACAAAAATTTCAATTGTGTTTACTATTATCATAATTGTATGGTCTAAAAACACAAGTTGGAATACACTTGGTGGTTAATTCAAAATTAGTAAAAATTAATTAAAATTATTGATCTTCAAATTATTAATATCATTAAAATTTAATCATTTTTTCTTAATATTTTTATTGATTGATCACTTTTTAATTATCTAAAAATATAATTGTTTTTAAAATTTTTGGATATTCTCATAAAGCAAAAATATAACAAAACTTGTTATTAATGAAGCAATCATTAAGACAAGATAACAAATTTATTATTTTCTATAAACAATTAAACAATTTCAAATATTAGAATTAAATTGTATTTTTAATAATGATATTTATGTATAAAATTTCAAGTTGTAACAATTATAAAGTAAGACCATTAAATTCTGTTGTTTGAGTCAAACGCATGATCAAATATAAATCTTTTCATTATTTTTATATGCTTGTATAGTACCTTTAATGATTTTATTCCAATTATTCAAACCCCAATTCTGATGCATTTTTATTTAAATTAACCATTTCAATAAAATGCCAAAATCACATTGGCCCACATTTCGTTTATTAATTTACTGAAAACGTCCGTTATTATAAATATAAACCAAAATTATTAAGTAGTAAGGATTGTTATAAAATGACCAAAAAACTAAATGAAATTAATTCAATTTATAAAGCCTGTAATAAATTTTTCAGACGCCAATACTCATGGTCCCACATAAAGTGGATATTAACAAGGCAACAGTCGCAATTAAATCAGGCTTTTCTTTATATTTTTCATTGTTTCAAAAATGAAGCTGACTATAAAGTCATTCACGTGTGCATTCGGGTATTAATCAATATAACTTGTCATTGAATGTGTAATGGATTGTAATTCTTTAAAAACTTGAAGAATTACAACGAAGTGTCAATAAACACATTATTGGACAACAATTTTAGAAACCTTATGTTTTATTTTGGAATTTTCTTTAATGTGTTTCTTTATGTTAAAAATTGACAATTTTATTGAATTAACGTACTATTGTTGTTAGTTAAATAATCACAAATTTGTTATTTAACAATTCAGTGTCTTTGTAATTTCAAATGCACATTAAAGTATTATTTGTAAAATTCATTTTGATAACACACATTATACCACACAACACACCGATACTCTAAAACGGATTGCAATTGTATAATGGAGTGTTAATTACACACTTCTTTTCTTTTTGTAAATATTAAGTCTTTATAGAAGCTATATTTGACATTACATTTTAAACAATTTAAATTTGTTTTAACACAACTCAAAAAAATATTCACATTTCAATCAATCTCAATTAATTACTTTAAATGCAACACAGTCAACACTAGTACAAACTGTAGTTTGTTATAGTTCACATTTCTAAGCAAGTTCATTAACATTGCGATTATCATTCATTTTGCCAAAATTATACCCAAAGCCTATGTAACACAATTTTAATAATTTCCATATCAACTTAAGCAATTTTTGTCATGTTGAAAACATTCAGTACTACTTAAATAATAAACATTAAAACACTTGGCTTACACAGTGATGCTGTTTTTTGTAGTAAACAGTTTTAACTTTAATGTTATATATCTTATACATTCACAATACTTGAAAATTGACGAATTGAAATAAATATTTTATATATTACTATATTATACTATATTATACTATATATAACCAAATAAAATAAAAATAACAATTTTAAAAAAGAGAGCACGTGACTTGTTGTTTGTTTGATTGGTCATTGGTTTTATAGGAAATGGCCACTTTAAACGCCTCATCAAAAACAAGTCTTAAGTTCTTTTGTGTGAGAGCGGAACATTCGATATATTTTACTGCACCGATTTCTTTTGCTTTTGCTGCACCTTGTTTGGTAGTGATTGGAGTGGTATTCTTTTCTTTGAGTCGCTTTAATTGATCGTTGTTTTCTCTCGTGTTTACCTTAGTCCCAACGAAAATATATGGTATGTTTGGGCAATTATGAGCAACTTCTGGTTGCCATTTTGCTGAAACGTTGTCGAATGAGGGTGGAGAGACCACACTGAAACAAATCAAAAAAATGTCTGTTTGTGGAAATGACAATGCACGTAACTGGTCGTATTCTATTGCTGCTTTAGTTTCCTAGAGTTGTGTATTAATTGGTTTTGAATCCATCATTATTGTATTACAATAATTGCCAAAAATTGTTGGTGTGTAATTTGTTGGAAACTCATTGGTTGTGTAAGTTATTAAAAGATATGTCTTTCCAGCAGCACTGTCGCCAACTACAACACTTTTGATTGTATGCATCAAATGTTTTAATTGGTATTAGATTTCTCTTAAATACTTTTGTATAACCAAATTTATATTATTAAACAAATATAGTTTGCATTGGTATATTAATTAATAAAATTTTGAAAACCAGAAAACTTCCATGTTTTAACTTCTAAATTTATTTTGTAAAATCGGTTTTTTAATGTTATCTAGTGGACAAGAAATAGTTCTAATTTTGTAAAATATAAATAAAATTATTTTTATTGTGTCAAATGTAAAAAAATAAAACAGGCTATTGAAATGTTGGAGTCATTGTAATTGTTAATACACTAACATCTCAACTATTTGGACTTTCAACACACAATTTCACTGTCATTAAACATACAATTATAATTAAAATAAACAACACTGTTTAAATGCATTTATTACCTTATGATTACGAATACTACAAAATATTAAGTGTGTATTTTTTTCTCAAGGATACCCACACCTCTTACTTATTGGTAAGAAGTCTGGGTATAAACCCAATAGAAAAAAAATGTTTTTACCTGATATTAATCAAAATATTTATCAGATATACAGGTCGGTACGAAACCCTTATAATTTTCTAAAACCCCTCAAGTCGTCAATTGATTGGTCGAAACCAGAAAAAAAATATTTTATATTTAGAAACAACATTTTCGGATGACGATTGTAAGCCAACTTCACAAACGCATTGTTGAAACATGTTCTCCGATGTCACTTCTTGTGGTTTTACACGAAACGAGACTCGTTATGATCATGTCTTGAACAGTTATAAACAAATGTAGTTTTTTATGGTTTTTATTTTTATATTTTGTTTTTATTTTTGTTATACAACACTTTTTTGTCCATTTTTATATCGTACTTGTTTGGAATACCGTCGTAATTAATGTTCTATGAAGCTTGAAAGGTTTAAGACAAATTGATGGGTTTTTACCATACCTGTAATTGGAATTATTATTTACAAAAGTGATAAAAAACGGATCTCTTGTTTTTACCTTTATTTATCGTTTTAATAGTTATAAATAATAAAATTATATAAAAAATATAATACAAATTACCACGTTAAACAAAAAAGTATTTGCTAAGAGTGTTTTTTAATTAAAATTTATCTTTTAGCTATTATTTGTGCGTCGTACATTCACACATTTATTCTCCATACTGTGTGGACGTGGAGCATCATATAAAATTTTGTATATACATGAGATTGTGGTATGACACAGAGACATCAAACCAGACAACATTTTAGTTATATTATTGAATGTTGATGACAAAACGAATGCCATATTGACTGGTTTTGGATCAAGTAGGTTGGTGAATATGTTAATGACCAACATGACATTCACAAAAGGTATTGGTACTTCAGTTTATATGGCGCCAAAAATACTCAAAAAGATAAATACAAAAAGCCAGCAAATGTCTATTCGTTTGGAGTAACTATGTATAAATGTGTTGGGTGGTGTCAAACATACACAAAACATCAGTTTAGATTTTCATGGAAAATAGCAAAGTTTGTGATCAATGGTCAACTAGTCAATAAAAAAGAAAATATGCCCCAAGAACTTTTTGATGTCATTCAAAGGTGTTGGGTACAAGATGTTACTTTGAGAATTGATGTTTTGACTATTGTTAATCTTCTTACAGACATCACATTTAATTTATTATTTACTTTCCACATTTTTATTTAGTAACAAATTAAATAATTTGTACATTTATTAAATTTGTCTAAAATTTTTAAAATTAAAATAAACAATATATCACAATTTAATTCGTAATAATAATTTATTATTTAAAGTTGTAAACAAAATATTTTTAATTCAAACAAGTATTTTATTGCCAAACAAATCAACACATTCCACATTTCCAAATATTTTTTAAAATAATACACAAAAACATTTATAAGATAACAATTTTTATTTGCAATTGAAAAAAATATGAAAATTTTATTAAAACTAAAACACCAAAAAGTTAAATTTCAATTTCGTAAGGTTAATTATGTTTTGTGTTGATCAAAAAAGATTGATTGTAATAAATTATTAAAAATTGACATTTCCACTTCTTGTTCCTCGAAGAACTCTTCCAAGTTGTTCGCCAAAAAAAGCATCATTGGCGATCTGTCTGTTCATTGAGGGGTCCAAATCAATCAACGAACGTGAAGCTGTTGGAGTCTGAGCAAGTTTTTCATTCAGTTTAACAACAAACTTTTTTATTGATTTTTTAAATCCTTTTACGTGCCATCTCGAACTAAACATTCTAATCTTTTTCAATCCATCAGCAAGACGATAATCCGCTACTAAAACAAGTTTTAGAGCATCAAAATTTGGGGAATTTAATTTGACCGCATTGAAGTTTTTTGATTCTTTGTCTAAAGTTAAAGAAACAGATGTGGCAAAATTGAGAATATGGAAGTAACTGTTGAAATAACCTTCTTGATTTATAATTGAAGATAATTTTCGACACAAGTTGGTGACTGTTTCTATTGTATAACGACTGGATTCAGAAGCTTCTCTAATTAATTCAAATTTTTCTGTTTCAAATCTAATTAAATCCCCCAAATGTCTCCGATATATTGGTGGAACTATTTGAGCTTCACTCTCAAGAAAAATTAATAATTTTTCAAATCTTGTCAATAATTCACCTGTTTCAATTTTATGAGAATTGATTAGTCCAAGAGATT